AGAAATAACAAAATGTTTTTTAAGTACATTAGAAGCAGGAAGCCTGCTAAAAAAACCTGTGGGTCCCCTAGATGAAAAGTAGGAATAAGGGATCTTCCGGAAAAGGGCTTATTTTCCGCAAGATCCCGTCTAGACTGGCACTTTTCTCTGGCAAAACCCCGAGCTGGAAAAAAGCGGCAGCCATGCTCATGCAAATGAAGCGGGGGAGATTTAAATCCCCGCTTCATTTGCAATTGCGCTGTGTCTAATCTGCATCCCTTTTCTGCAAAAGGGGTGCAGTCTAGACACAGCCCTTAAGATGGCTACAGATGATTGAAACACAAACAGCTGATTTGCCAGTTACTAATACTTTTTTGGATAGCACTTCTCTTTGAGTTATAGATTGTCATTTAAAGGCAGTGTTTGACATTTTACCCCTAATTTTTGAAGGGGCCCATGTGCCTGTAAGTGATGTGCGAATAACTCTTCACAGGGGCTATTGCTCAGGTTGGGGGCACTTGGGTGCTTTACAGATTAAAATCACATTTTATTATCCAGAGAAACAAATTGGCTACATTGCTCTCACTCTTGTAATGACCCTTATCAGACCATAGTCCCAGTTTTTCCTTAAGATAAATGAGTCTTGCGTCTTTCTGAGAGCAAGTCAAAGCCCTCGGCTTCGCATGGGCTTTTGGTTTTCATAGCAGCATCTTCCCCTTTCTTGGCTGTTAGTATATGAATTGTGGCCAGCAGTTCCCAGTTCACAGCTGCCAAAATGGTTCCTTCCTCAAGTCAACTGGCAGTTGGCACCCAAGAGAGCAGCTGTCAAATCAGCACCAAGCAGTGTTGGAGCAGGCAAGCCACCTCCTAACAGGAACTGAGCAGATGTGACTAGCCTGAAGCATCTGCCTCCTGACCCTGGCTTACATACTTGCTGAGTAATGATGCTGAGCTGGTCATTTCCCAGAACTGGAGAATGAACACAAGCCCCCTAATTGCATATGTATTGTGTTTGCAGAGGAGTCACTGTCTGCTAGGATAAGTGGAATATTCTTCTTTAGGACATTCAGCAACAAACAACCCTGAGACAGCAGAAACTTTCCAAAAAAATGGGTCAGTTGGTTTCAATTATGGGAATTATTTGCCATTAATTGATTTCTTGTGAATGGTATTTTGTGTGTGGAACATGCATCTGTACCAGTAAATTGGCTGTCAGTTGTGATTTAATACATTTGATGAAAGTTTGAGAAGGAAAGTTTCACTGAGAGTTCATAACTTCACTGACTGCCTTTTGTGTGACTAACCTCAAGATTTACTGACAGTACTGAAGAGACACACTATAGAAATATGCTGTGAACCATCTGTTATTTCACCTCTGAACATTTTGAAGGCCTTGATTCAACAAAGCAAACAAATATATGCTTAGTTAAATGTATGGTGCAATTCTAATGACTTCATGAAATGTAAGCACATCAGCCCTTTCACGGGGAGAAGGAGGGATCCTTAGAAGATTTGTCAGGCTGGCTTAAAGATCTCTTTCTGCTTTTGGAGAAATATAGGGTGGCCATAGCAGGGCAAAGAATCCATCCCATTGTATAGATAATTCCACTATTTAGCAAACCCTGGTGCTGTCAGTCATTCCTTTTAATAGAATTCTTAACGGTGCTCTGTGCTTGATGGGTAGTTTTCATTTTCCAGCTGTAAAGGAATAGTATCATTGTCTTGAATTTTTACAGGTGGCTCCAGAGTTAGCACTTAAAATAAAAAAAAATCTTTGTGTATTAGTTTATGCTCGGTACAGTCAAGCCATCCCTGCTAGTAATATCTTTTCAAATTCTGGGTTCATAAATGCACTTGACTTTTGGTACAAGCTGGTGCTCTTGGTATGTGTTTTCTGTTCTGCAGTTTTATCTTCTCTCCATAAATTACTGAAACATCATGTGCCCTTGTGACTTTCCAGTTATAAAACATTATGGGACTTTTTCTGTTTGGAGGAGAGTAAGTATGGTACTCAAAGGGTGTAATTCTATTCCAACCATTCTGTCCATGCTTCCTACATGTATGTACAGAAGAATACATTGTATGCTACAGCTGCAATTCAGTGTGTGAGGATACCACCTGTCAAATGGGAGTTTTGCCATTGACTTCAGCAGGGCCAGGATTTCACTCAGGTAGTGGGAAAACACCACTGTAAATGCTATGTTGTTAATGTTCCGTCTCTTTTTTCCTCCACAGGAGTTAATTAGTCTGATGCTACAGGTAAATGTAGAAGCTCGATATACAGCAGCCCAGATCCTAGGCCATCCCTGGGTGTCCGTGAGTAAACTCTGCATCATACTTATCCCTAATTAGATATTAACATTAAAGATCTAACTCTTAATAGTGCTGTGTGAAGAGCAGAGTGTCCGGTGCTGCCAGAAGTAGTGACCAAACTCAGCTTTGCCCAATTCTGTTCATCAAGCAAATTTTATGTCTGCTACTGCTGAGTTACCATAAATGATACAGTAGAGGGCAGTATAGGCAGTCCCCGGATTACATCAGTCCAACTTAAGTCCGACCTCCAGTTGCGAATGGGGGGGGGGCTGCCTCCCCCACTGTTGCCACCTCTGGCGGCGCAGGGGGTGCTTCCCCCCAGCAGACCGGGGAGATGCAGAGCGGCTTTTCATGCTGCAGAGGACGCGGGTGGCAGGACCACCGAGACGCACCATGGCAAGAAAAGCCGCTCCGCATCTCCCTGGTCTGTGGGGGGGCGCAGCTAGGGGG